GGCAACAAGGAAAGTGGGAACTGCCAAATACCTCCAGAGAGTAAGGCAGGTGGAGTTCCTGAGTGGAGTTTGCATGTTCTCCCGGTGTCTGTAGGATTTCTCCGGGTACTCCGGTTTCCCCTAGCATGTATTATATTACTATTACTATTATACAAAACATGTACACTAGTTCAGGGTGAATGAATGAGTGTGTGTTGGTGAGTGCAAATGTGGGACAACGGATGCAAATTAGCCCGTGACTACAATCCGGAGTGATGTATTCATTAACATGTACTGTCCCAACCAAATAAACGACAAATAAACAAACAGGTCCTGAAGCTGGCTCACTGGCAAGAACAAGGCCCAGGCAATTAACAGCTACGCCCTGCCAGTGATCAGACCCTGCAGGAATAATCAGGGGCCAAAGGAAGAGGAACTGAAAGCTCCTCACCATGCATGGTGAATATCTGTATAAAATCCAGACCTCAGGGTCTAGATTTTATACAATTCACCGACTTTATATCCGCCATCTTGGTCGTCTTCGGCTGTTGTTAGACTCACATTCGCAGGTTTGCATTACATCATAAACAGCTGAGGTAGTACCAACAAAATGACACCAGCTGCAGTGAGGACCAGGACAATTGTTGATACATGTCACAGTGGTGTGTCCTGTAGGGGCAGCTCAGAGCCAATCTAAAGGCTGTCATAGACTGTTTTGAGGGATGGAAACAAGTGGCAGATGTGTTTTGATAAGCAATGTCGGCATAATCAAGGAATGGAAGTAATATCTGAGAAACATGCATTTTCCTGCTGGAAAAATTAAAGTTGGAGCGAAGTTTTTGATTCTTTTTCTATTTTTTGTCCCGTCTTTTTTTCGTTGATTTAAAACGTCGGTAAATTTAGTCATTGTCTTTGTCCCAATGAATTAGGGTTGGGCAATAAATCGAATTTAGACAATTAACAAGCTTTTGAAAAAATCAAATTTTGTGAAAAACGTGAAATTGAAAGGATATTTTGAGAATTCCCGCAGCACATGAATTATACTTGCAATATCAGCACAGTCTGTACAAGACTTTAATAATACGTATGTATGGGAAACAAATTAAAAATAGTTTTGAAACTTAAATATTGAGCGGAAAGATCAAAAAATATTCTTAAGGGCAAAGTCTGTCTTCAGTGACTTTCATGAAAATCGTCCAAAGCAGGAAATAAAATCGAGATATTACTTTTTTGCCATATTGCCCAGCCCTACAGTGAATTACCCCTGATTTAGTTTTAATTTCTTTTTAATTCATAAAAATATATTTTTGACAAGTAATGTGACAATAATATTTTGTCATCAAAATTGACACTGCACTAAAGTTCACAAAACCTAAGATTTTGTGCTATTTTACCGCCCACTTGGGAATAGATTTTACTGCATGTGGCCCCTGAGTCTACTTCAGTTCAAGTTTGTGTTTTTTAAGAACAAACACACACACACACTGATGTCTGCCTTTGTGTGTCATTTTTTGCAGATCTACCAAGTCCATCTACAGAATGGGGTTCACCTGTGATCAGTGTGGAAAGACCTTCAGCTTTGCTTCCAAACTAAAGACCCACTACAGAACTCACACTGGAGAAAAACCATACAAGTGTGATCTGTGTGGAACAGGTTTTACTACAAAAGAAGGTCTCAAGGTCCACAGCAGAATCCACACTGGAGAAAAGCCCTTCAACTGTGACGTTTGTGATCAGAGTTTTAGAGAACGTAGTACTCTCAAAGCTCATCAGAGGATCCACACAGGAGAGAAACCGTTTGAGTGTGACGAGTGTGGACAAACATTTAGGAGCAAACAGAGGCTCTCACGACATCAGCGTGTCCACACAGGAGAGAGACCTCACCAATGTGACCAGTGTGAAAAGACTTTTACACAAATATCTGACCTCACTAAGCACTACAGAGTCCACACTGGAGAAAAACCATTCGTCTGTGGAGAGTGTGGGAAGGAGTTTGCAGTATCTTCCTCCTACAAAAGTCATGAGAGAATTCACACTGGAGAAAAACCATTTGCATGTGACCTCTGCAGTAAAACTTTTAGAAGTGCAGCACATCGCACACTTCACCATCGGAGCCACACTGGAGAAAAACCATTTGCATGTGACCTCTGCAGTAAAACTTTTATAACTGCAGCACATCGCACACGTCACCATCGGAGCCACACTGGAGAGAAGCCGTACGAGTGCGACCAGTGTGGAACATGTTTTTCTCAAGCAACAAATCTCAAGGTCCACAGCAGAATCCACACTGGAGAAAAGCCCTTCAGCTGTGACGTTTGTGATCAGAGTTTTTCTCAGAGTGGTTCTCTGAAAGACCATAAGCGGATCCACACTGGAGAGAAACCATTTGTCTGTGAAGAGTGTGGAAAGTCTTTTACACAAAGGTCACATCTTCGTGGACACATGAAAACCTGTGAGAAGCAGGTGTGAAGACGCAGCATCTGGAACAAAGTGAAGGAGACAGAGCTGAGGCTGCATCATGTGAACCCAGAGTCAGACTCTACAGGATCACACTTCAGTCTTAACCCTGTGCTGCAGCTGCTGAGCTTTACAGACCAAACACACACAGTTCCATCCAGATAGAACTATAATTAGTGTCAAAGGAACTCTGACTTAACCTGCATCAAAATACATTGATGTTTTTCATAAAAGCCTTAAAGAAGCTATACTCATTGTTTTCTATTGAGTTCATAAACTCATAACTGGGGGCGACAGTGGCTCAGTTGTTAGAGCATTGGACTTTGGGCCTGAAGGTCATGGGTTCGAGCCCACCGCAAGACCTACTTCGACTCCCACTGATGACGAGTTATAGCAGAATTGGCTATAACTTGTCTTGCTGTAACTGCATACAAAGCAAAACACCCCAAACGGCGCCACAGTGAGGAAGAGAAGAGGGAACTAAAGCGAAAAAATTACCAAAGAAGAAATCAAGCCCGGGTGAATACATGTAGCGTTAGCTTACATCGTATCCTCTGGAGCAGAAACCTGCGGGTCTCTGCGCCTCGGACTACATTCGGATGCGAAACTAATGGTAATCTTTCAGTTATATATATGTTTTACAGTGCTTACAATAAACTGCACTGATGCTAATGTTTGTATCAGATTGCAAATAAAACTAGATGGCTCCGTGGTATGAGAGCGTAGGGGAAATGAGACCTGTGAGCGAGTTGAGGGGCGGTGCTAAACATTAAAAATGGGTATAGCTCGAACGAGCTCTACACATGTTCTTAAACAAGTAGAAGACATTGGGTATGAGCCTGATTCTCTGCTTGTTACTCTGAGAGGCTTGTTGGGTCAGAGACTCTTCACCAACATTATTCTCTTCCAGGACAAACACTACAGACAAATCAAAGAAACAGCTATGAGAGCAGCCTATGCCCCCAACTGTGGCGCCCTGAACCTGGGTCTGTGGGAACAGCATATACAGTGGGGCAAAAAAGTATTTAGTCAGCCACCGATTGTTCAAGTTCTCCCAATTAAAATAATGACAGAGGTCTGTAATTTTCATCATAGGTACACTTCAACTGTGAGAGACAAATGTGAAAAAATTAAAATCCAGGAATTCACATTGTAGGATTTTTAAAGAATTTATTAAAACTGTCACAAAATGCCACAAATGTGAGTACTTTTTTGTATGTGGTATCTGTCCTGTCAATGTATACTGTGGTGTCTTTATATGTATCGTATCCTCCCTTCATTCAACTTTGTATTATCCAATAGTGTTCCTTTTATTGGTCCCTTCTCCAATTAAAGGACTTTTTATCAGTGCCTCGGATTTCACCCTGTTTTCTTTGTTTTGCAATACCGAGGGTGTGGTTGATTTTAAAAACCCAAGGGTCACAATCAACTTACAGTATAAAAGGGACACGGGTAAGTATCTGACAGGCGTGAATAAAAGTTTTAAATGTTTTGATAAAAGGCAAGATCCTGCTAAAAAAAGAAATTAGACAAACTAAGATTAGAAAAGGTCAATTTATTTAACAAATTACACTTAGCTTTGATTAAATGTTACTGTACTATTAAAATAGTTGAGCTGAATCTAAAAAAGGCCGAAATGCTAAAAATGTAAATGCCAAAACAAAAAGGGAGCTAGCTGGGGCCACCGGTGGTGAGCATGCTACTCTGGGAGGTGCCCAGGGGTGCTACACAGAATACTCACCTCAGTGGACACAGCAAATGAAAGGTGCAAACTAACTCGTGAACCAAGTGCACTAAATCACATGCAAAGGTGGGGGACCACACCAATGTGCCTAGCCCAGCCACCAGGGGGCGCCCAGTGACCCTAAAAGAAAAAGTAGAAATTGTTAAAAACCAATATGACTGGACCCAGTTGGTTTTGACAACCTGTTCCCTGCAAAAATAAAAGTGTTCATATGTAGTTTTTTTTATTACATATTTTGATATAAAGAAAATCAAAATAACAAAAGTATAAGCAAAGAACAAACTAAACTAGAACAAAGTAAAAAGCACAATAGCCAAAGCAAAACAGCAATAACACAACAAAAACAGCAAAAACAAATATCAAAACCGATAAAGCAGTAGCAGGGTAGTCACCCTTGACGGTTTGGAACCAGACACTGACTGTTTCCTGCAGCGGTGCATTTATTGGGTCCACAGATTGCGCAAAAACACGCATGGTCCTATGCGCGTTTATACATACATTTAGTACATGGTCACGTTGCGGCTACGCACTCACCGTGTTGTGTTGTGAGCGGTTCCTGCGCCGCTGGACGCTGGAACCGCTCAATACAAAGCGGCCGCTGAGGTGGTGGAGTCCCGTTCGAGAAAAAAATAATTGACTCATTAGTCCTTTAGACCCTAATTTAGGGTACATTTAATCTTTTTCTGCACACCAACAGAGCGTTCTCCTCAGTTATTTATTTAAAAAACAATAATGTACTTGCGCTTTCGTCCCGATTCCGTATATGATCTATACCCGACCGTACTCACTTCCCCTCCCTCCCTCACTTCCCCTCCCTCCCTCACTTCTTCTTGGGGCAGTACTCCCTTCGTCCGCCTCCCCCTCCCTCCCTGTTGAAAGTTCGGACTCTGTGGATCCTCTGGAGCTGGGTCTGGATGGTCTGCAGGACGTCCATGTGGTCAGGGATGTGGACGAACCTGACACACAAGAGTATTAGTCACAGGGAGCTCTGACTGTATACGCTGCTCCCTCTGGTGGCAGCAGAGTCACAGGCTTCATAATTTTCATATTTTCTACTGGACATTATTCCACTATTATTCTTTGTTCTCCTCTGATGTGTGTGTGTTTCTCTCTTCACCTAATGTTCCTCCCTGTGATGAACAGGTCCTGGAGCTTGCTGGTGTGTCCCATGTTGTGTCCCCTGTAGAGGACGTCCCTCATTCTCAGGTTCATGAATGCGTCCACGTTCTGCAGTCTGCCCTGCGCCCAGCCCTCGTCCCTCAGCTCCACTGTGGTCACATGACCCTGCATCCCCTGCAACAGCGCCACCAGGCTGTTCTCTGAGATACTGCGCTCCCGGAGAGAGCTGCACACCTCCCCCTGGGACTGGGACGAGGACTGGGACTGGCCTTGGACGTCCACAGGATCCATGGCACTAAAGCTGCAAGAGAGAGATCCAGGACATTTATGGACATTATTCATCCTGCTCGTTCTCTGCTCTCCTCTCCCACTCTGCTCTGTGACTCACTGCCTCTTTGGACTGAGACTTGTATGGCTGAGTGAGGGTGGTCCTCTCTTTGATCTAAAGATGTGACAGAGACAGAAACACATGATGTGAAACTGAGATTAAAAAATAAATAAAAAGGCATGGGTTTCATACAAAGTTGGTCTGATACTAAGACAAATACAAAGTCATGTCAGATCTTTAGATCAAAGAGAGGATCACTCCTCAGCCAATCATTTCTCAGCCCAAAGAGGCAGATAGTGACTCACGGAGAGGACCGCGTAATACAAACATCTCTGAATCAAACACAACATTATTCACTTTTACCTTTGACAGAAGCTCCGCGCGCTCAGATTAAACACCCCACAACAGAACACAACAGATGTTAGAGATGTTAGAGTTTAACAGTTTAAATGAAACGAACAAGGAAACACGAGCCGGAAACACGAGCCGGAAACCGGAAGTTTCAGAAGTGACGTCACGGGGGCGGACCGCACTATTTATTGAATTCAGTTTTTCAAACTCTGTTTAACTTCAGTCTTTGAGTTTGACGTGTGGAACACAGATGATGCTGTTTTTTTACATTTTCATAAAATAAAACAATACACAAATAATGTGACACTTGCTAGCTCCCGTGGCTTTGAGGCTTACTGTTTATTCTCAACACCAATGTTATCAGTTAAACAGAGTCAGATTTTAGCAGTGTTAGAAGACAACGTTATTTACAAATCTTATTATTATAGATCCAATTTGGCAATCTACTGCAGCCACAGGTCCCAATCAGCAGCCTGCAGCCACAGGTCCCAATCAGCAGCCTGCAGCCACAGGTCCCAATCAGCAGCCTGCAGCCACAGGTCGCGGCAGCCCTTTCCCTTCAATTGAAATATTTCATCTTTCTTTGAGAAATACAAAACGTGTGTGTGTGTGTGTGTGTGTGTGTGTGTGTGTGTGTGTGTGTGTGTGTGTGTGTGTGTGTGTGTGTGTGTGTGTGTGTGTGTGTGTGTGTGTGTGTGTGTGTGTGTGTGAACTTCTGGAGTGAGTTTGCTGCACTGAAAGTAAAGGGGCCGAATAATATTGCACGCCCCACTTTTCAGTTTTTTATTTGTTAAAAAGGTTTAAATTCCATCCATCCATCCATCCATTTTCTTCCGCTTTATCCGTTGCCGGGTCGCGGGGGCAGCAGTCTAAGCAGAGACGCCCAGACTTCCCTATCCACACACACTTCCTCCAGCTCGTCCGGGGGGACCCCAAGGCGTTCCCAGGCCAGCTGAGAGACATAGTCCCTCCAGCGTGTCCTAGGTCTTCCGCGGGGCCTCCTCCCGGTGGGGCGTGCCCGGAACACCTCCCCAGGGAGGCGTCCAGGAGGCATCCGGAACAGATGCCCGAGCCACCTCAACTGGTTCCTCTCGACGTGGAGAAGCAGCGGTTCTACTCCCAGCTCCTCCCGTATGACTGAGCTCCTCACCCTATCTCTAAGGGAGCGCCCAGCCACTCTGCGGAGGAAGCTCATTTCGACCGCTTGTATCCGCGATCTCGTTCTTTCGGTCATTACCCAAAGCTCATGACCATAGGTGAGGGAGGGAACGAAGATTGACCGGTAAATCGAGAGCTTTGCCTTTCGGCTCAGCTCCCTCTTCACCACAACGGTCCGATACAGCGACCGCATAACTGCTGCACCGATCCGCCTGTCAATCTCACGCTCCATTCTTCCCTCACTCGTGAACAAGACCCCGAGATACTTGAACTCCTCCACTTGAGGAAGGACTTCTCCACCCACCTGGAGAGGGCAAGGCACCTTTTTCCGATCGAGCACCATGGCCTCGGATTTGGAGGTGCTGATTCTCATCCCAGCCGCTTCACACTCGGCTGCAAACCGTCCCAGTGCATGCTGCAGGCCCTGGTTCGTTGGAGCCAGCAGGTCCATAAAATCACATGTGGTGTGCCCCAGGGTTCCATTTTAGGTCCAGTCCTTTTTAACCTGTACATGCTCCCTCTTGGCGGTGTCATCAGGAGACATGGAATTAACTTCCACAGTTATGCAGATGATACACAGCTGTACATCTCCATGTCTCCTGATGACACCAGGCCAATGGATGCTCTTTTTAACTGCATTTTAGACCTGAAATCCTGGATGGCAGAAAACTTTCTCCAGCTTAACCAGGACAAAACTGAGGTTTTAGTCATCGGTCCTGAGGCCCAGAGAGAGAAACTTTTATCAAAACTCCAATCACACTCTTTTAATCCATCATCACAAGTGAAAAATCTGGGCGTAATCTTTGACTCTGAGCTGACTTTTATTCCTCACATCAAGAGTATCACAAAAATAGGTTTTTATCATCTAAAGAACATCGCCAGAGTCCGCCCCATTCTCTCTCGGGGCAACACGGAGACGCTGATGCATGCTTTTATCACCAGTCGCATTGACTATTGTAATGCCCTGCTCTCTGGTCTTCCCAAAAAGAACATTGCAAGTCTTCAATTACTCCAAAACTCGGCCGCACGTGTCCTGACTAAGACCAGGGGGCGGGACCACATTACACCGGTTTTAAAATCGCTGCATTGGCTCCCCGTGTGTTTCAGAATCGATTTTAAGGTTCTTTTAATGGTTTTTAAATGTCTTAATGGTCTTGGGCCTTCTTATCTTTCAGATTTGCTTTTATCCTATGAACCTTCCCGGCCCCTGCGCTCCTCCGGCAGCAGACTCCTAACCGTCCCCAAAGTCAGGACACACACTCACGGCGAGGCATCTTTCCAGCACTACGGCGCCCGTCTCTGGAACAGTCTGCCGGAGGAGCTCAGGGCCGCAGAGAACGTTCATATTTTTAAAAGTAGGCTCAAGACGCACCTTTTTAGAGTAGCTTTTGATTAGTTTTTATTATTCCATTCTATTTATCTTTTATTATTTATTATTTATTATATTGCTATTGCTATTATTCATGTATTGTGTGTTCCTTTTAGTCTCACATTTTAGTGTTTTACTTATTGTACTGTTATTTATTGTATTGTTTTTAGTGTACCCAGTGTTTCCTCTGGAGGAGCCCTCTGCACCGGGAGCAGTGGTCGGTGTGGCTGCGGGGGTCGGACTCTTGGGCCTGGTGGGGGCCTGGGGCCTCGGTTTCATGTCTCCTCTGGGTCCTGTGTCGTCCCCTGTGGCTACGGGCGGCTCTCTGCTCCTGGTGCAGACGGCTCCTTGGATGACGCTTTTTCAGCTGGTTGCATCTGAACCCTGCCAAGTCTCTCATCATGTTTTTATTGTTTTACTGGTGTGTGTGTGTGTGTGTGTGTGTGTGTGTGTGTGTGTATGTGTGTTCATGAGCGCGTGTGTGTGTGTTTGTCTGTGGTTTGGGGTGGGTCTGTTGGGTGGTCTGGGGGAGGGGTCTTGGGTCGGCGGGATTGTTTTTAACCAAACTGTAAAGCACTTTGTGTTGCATCTTATGTATGAAAAGCGCTTTATAAATAAAATTTGATTGATTGATTGATTGAACATCGTCCGCAAACAGCAGAGATGAAATCCTGTGGTCTCCGAACCGGACCCCCTCCGACCCCTGGCTGCGCCTAGATATTCTGTCCATAAATACAGTGAACAGAACCGGTGACAAAGGGCAGCCCTGTCGGAGGCCAACATTCACCGGGAACAGGTCTGACTTACTGCCGGCAATGCGAACACAGCTCTGGCTCCGGTCATACAGGGATCGGATGGCCCTCAGCAGAGGACCTCCGACCCCGTACTCCCGGAGAACCCCCCAAAGGACACCCCGGGGAACACAGTCGAACGCCTTCTCCAAATCCACAAAGCACATGTGGACAGGTTGGGCAAACTCCCATGAACCCTCGAGTATCCGATGGAGAGTATAGAGCTGGTCCAGTGTTCCGCGACCGGGACGAAAACCACACTGCTCCTCCTGGATCCGAGATTCGACCATCGGCCGTAACCTCCTCTCCAGTACCTTGGAGTAGACCTTACCGGGGAGGCTGAGGAGTGTGATCCCACGATAATTGGAACACACCCTCCGGTCCCCCTTTTTGTAGAGAGGGACCACCACCCCGGTCTGCCACTCCATTGGCACTGCCCCCGATCGCCACGCGATGTTGCAGAGACGTGTCAGCCAAGACAGTCCTACAACATCCAGAGACTTTAGATAATCAGGGCGGATCTCATCCACACCCGGAGCCTTGCCACCATGGAGGCTACCAAACACCTTGGTGACCTCAGCCAGGGAGATGGTTGTACCCGCCCCAACATCCTCAGCCTCTGCCTCTGTAACAGAGGACGTGACGGGGGGATTAAGGAGAACCTCAAAGTATTCCTTCCACCGCCCGACAATATCCCCAGTCGAGCTCAGCAGCTCTCCACCCGCACCGTACATGGTGTTGGCAAAGAACTGCTTCCCCCTCCTGAGGCGCCGGATGGTTTGCCAGAATCTCTTCGAGGCCGACCGATAGTCATGCTCCATGGACTCTCCGAACTCCTCCCAGTCCCGGGTTTTTGCCTCTGCAACAGCCCGGGCCGCGGCACACTTGGCCTGCCGGTACTGGACAGCTGCCTCAGGAGTCCCCCGAACCATCATGGCTCGATAGGACTCCTTCTTCAGCCTGACAGCATCCCTTACTGCCGGTGTCCACCACCGGGTTCGGGGGTTGCCGCCGGGACCAGCACCAGAGACCTTGCGACCACAGCTACGAGCCGCCGCATCGGCGATTGAGGCAGAGAACATGGTCCACTCGGACTCCATGTCCCCCTCCTCCGCCGGGACCTGGGAGAAACTCTCCCGGAGGTGTGAGTTGAAAGTCCGTCTGACAGGGGGCTCAGCGAGACGTTCCCAGCAGACCCTCACTATACGCTTGGGTCTGCCAGGTCTGACCGGCTTCTTCCCCTGCCAGCGGATCCAACTCACGACCAGGTGATGATCGGTTGACAGCTCCGCCC